CAACTAATATATTTATATTTCAAGTAGTTATATGATATAAGTTATAAAAACTAATATAATATAACACATGTAAATCATAAGTAACACATACCATTCTACGATATAGAGTAATATATTTATTTGTAGAAAAGTAAACTAGATTTTTATAGTTTTCTCATTAATTTTAAAATTTAAGAATATTTTTTTAACAAGCACCCGTGTAATACACGAGTGTTGTACTAGTAAGAAAATAAAATAGAAAAAGAAAACAAATGTGTCGTGTATACGAAATATGAAAATAATTCAGTTATCGACACGATTTATAAGGAAAAACAATATACCATAATGAGGAATGAAAAACGATTTGAAAAACAAAAGGAATGTAAAACAAGAAATAAACTAAGAGCACGATAATACTACACATGCCTGTAGTCCGGCAGCTGCTTCCAATATTTAACATCTTATAATCTGGTGTCATTCTCCAGGTATGAACTGACTAGATTATCTATTCACGAATACGGAGATGACTGCAAGTGGATAGAGAGATTTGAAGGCACAGAACTCACCATTTTCTGCATCTCCTTGAATGATTATGACCAGCTTGTCGGGGGAGACAGCGGGGACCCAATCAACAAGATGATAGCCACCCGAAAGGCCTTTGAGAGCTTTGTTACAAGGTTTTATCAGACAAAAGTCCTACTACTTCTAACTAAACATGATCTTTTCGAGCAGAAGATAGAACGGGTTCCTCTGCATCAATGCGAGTGGTTTAGTGATTTCCACCCGATAAAAGATGATGGCAGCAAACACTTGGGGCAGATGGCCGTTCATTATATTTCGTGCAAGTTCAAGAGGTTATATGCAGCGCTCACTGGCCGGAAGTTGTATGTTGTGCCTGTAAATTGTCTGGTGAAGGATAGTGTAGATGGAGCACTCAGGTACGCGGGGGAGATCCTCGACTGGGATAAATGGAGTCGAAATTACATCACCAATGAAAGTGAAAGTACGTCCAGTGATGACTAGTAACTGAGGTGAACTTATAATAGTGGCGTATATAGAGAGAGATATACCTAGCATGTGAACATATAAGACTTCGTTTTTTGGAATTTTGATAGAAACACTTCTTTTGGCAACTATTTTTGCTTCTGTATATTACTATCTGTGATCAAGTTCAGCCTGAATGTTGTTATACACCTCGTTCAAGCATTTTAGTGTAGAGCTGCTGCTGTTTTCATGCCTTGCATTTAACCATTGTGTGAACTTATGTTAATATAAATGTACGTGGAAGTGGAATTAATGTATTCTGTTATTTTGAGTTTCTTTTCTTTTTTTTTTTTTTAAAGAAATGATAATGACCCTTTATTTTGCTTTTACAAATGACACCCTCTACATTCAAGAGGGGTTATTTAACAAATAAATACAAATTATATAGGGGTTGGTGCAAGTATTTGTAAAGGAAAAAAATTCCTTCTTTTAGTAATCAGGCCAACTAGCTGCTTGTGCAATTTAACCAGAGTACTAATGCATATGCAATGCTCTTCCATGACCGTGAGCAATTGCTAGATCTCTGCACACAGTAGCTGAAAATATGATGGCATACAACACCAGGGGAAGGTGAGCATCCATTATATTTGGTTTAAGTACAAGAAGCTCGATGTGGCCCTGACTGACTGGAAGCTGTATGCTGCACCGGTAAATTGTCTGGCACAGAATAGTATAGATGAGTCAATTATGGAAAAGTTTTAGTGAATAGTAACCGAGGTAATCTTATAACTGTTACATATATTTGGAGTTTAAATGAAAATCATATCTTTTAACAACTATTTTTGCATCTGTGGTGAAGTTCAGCATGAGTTTCGTTCTAGACCCATTGCTTTTAACGCTTATGTGAACTTATATGGATATGAATGTTTGTGGAAGTAGAATTAGTAGCTGAAAACTACTATATATCTCTTCAAAGACCGGTGGTATATATATGTATCTGTGTTGCCTTCAGGTTTGTGACCCCTTGTCTCTCACTCATGTCGATATCCACATCATCGGGTCTAGCAAAGTCAAAGCAATGCAACAAGCTGGGCAGAGCCAAATGGACCATTTGAAGAGCTAGGTTTGTTCCTGGACACGACCGTCTCCCAGAACTAAAAGGTATCAGCTCGAAATTTTGTCCTCTTATAATGTCGACATCCTTGTAGCTGGTCAGGGTCTGAACTCATTCACCTCGGTCCATAAGCTCTGATTTTCCACACGTTCACCATCAGGTGTGTTCCAGATGGGACGTGGTACCCTGGTGAGATGGTACAATCCTCCATGGCACCCGTTCTTTCTTTCTTTTTCTCCTTTCTATATGATTTTTTTTTTTTTTTCAAGTATTGGCTTTGTTGATTGTGTTGGCATCAAATGCCGGAATATCAGTTCCCTCCAAAATACCGAGCACAACATCCATGCAATCTTGATGATCCTCTCTCTCTTTCTTTCTCTCTATTCCCCTGACAATAATACCCTTTTCCTCCTCTCCTTGTGCTCCAACAGCCACTCCTCTATAAGACCATCAAGCTCTTTAGCCACCCTCTTCATGCTTCTATTTCGCCCACGAATCCAGCCACCCCGAGAATGGTAATAATGCATCCAACACCACAAAAAGAGGTTTTCGGGCATGGGTGAGGGTGAAGAAGCATGGGGGAAAAGAGGACATGCTGCTTAATGTGGCGGGAAAGAGGACATGAACCATATGGGGCCGACCTTGCAAATGAACCATATGTATACAAATTATTAATTTTCACATCAATATATAATTCTTCATCTCATAAAATGTATAAAATGATGTAATTTTTGTAATCTGGGGGACCACTACCATTTAATTAGTTGAAAAAAAAATATTAAAACTATATTTATTATATAACCGAAGATGTGATATTATGGGGTTTGGTTATGTCACGAAAATTAATTAGCTATTTTAATGAAAAATAGCCTAATGAGATGAAAAATAATATTGCTTATAGAATAAATATTGTGAATAAAAGAATTTGAAATATAATTTTTTAGTAGTATGTAACTTTCCATTACCGTTTAATGTGAATTTCTAATTAGCTTGTATCAGTAATAACTATTATATAATAAAATAATTAAAAGTTATTGTTAGACTTAAAAATATAATGTTTTTTTTTTCTATAATTAGTTAAACAAAATGTTTGTTTTATTTGTATTAATTGAATACCTTATAATTATTTTTATGTATATAAGTCTTATATTTTTTATTCCAATGTCTGGAAGACAGAAGATTCGCAAGGAGAACCACAGCCTAACAAATTATTTTTGTAAAATGTAAAGACAAAAAAACAGTACAAGGAAGAAACTACACTACATTGACAAGCATAAGATATATGACAGTAAATTATCTCTGTGACATTGTAAAGCCCGTCTAGCTCAGTCGGTAGAGCGCAAGGCTCTTAACCTTGTGGTCGTGGGTTCGAGCCCCACGGTGGGCGTATTATTTTGCTTGCTTGTTTTATTTTTCTTGCTTTTTCGATTGGTGCACTTTGGACTTTTATCCAAAATAATATTTTCCCTTACTATCATGATTGTCTTCTACGCTATATATTATTTCCGTTACACTATTTAAGTGATGTAATTTTTTGATTTATTTTCATATTCATTCTATGTTTAGAAATAAATTAAATACACGAGTCATGAATCAATTAAAAAATACTATAAATATAAATATGTTTGTATACAAGAAATCTAAAAAAAAAATCAATATTTTAACTCAAACTTTTTTTTTTTGGTGAAAAAAGGAGGCCGGAGCCTATGTTGCTACTCGGCGGGGGTACGCGACCCCGATATTATCATGCTCAAGCCAGGTTCCCAGCTCCCGAGGAGGTGATGGTACGTGATGTAGTCCCAGCGCATAAGAGGCCGCAAGGCCCGCCAGATAATCCGCTGCAAAGTTTGCCTCCCTGTGGACATGTTTGACTTTAACGGTCCATTCTCTTTGGGTCAGATCGCGAATAGCTTTAACTAGCGAGCTATGTGCCCCATTCCCTTCATCTAGATTGCATACCATTTTCGCCACACACGCGCTATCGACCTCGGCGATTACTTGTCGATAACCTATGTCCCATGCTAACAGTAAGCCTTGAAAGAGACCCCAAAGCTCGGCCCCGGTAATAGAGCAATGCCCAATATTCATTAAGAAACCCTTGATCCAACGTCCCATTCCATCTCGGATCAGCCCGCCAGCACTACTCAAGCCCGTGATGTGATCGAAGGCTCCATCACTATTCACTTTGATCCATCCCACTTCCGGAGGGGTCCACTGTATCAGTCGAGTAACATGCGTTATTGCACCTACCTTCGCATAAGACGCTTCTGCTCGGGAGTAGCAGTTAACAAGCCGCATCACTTCGTCCTTTTTAGCCTGTGCCGTTAGTAGTTTATTCTCGAAAATCCTTTCATTGCGCCATTTTTAACTCAAATTTAACCCCACATTATTAATATTATGAATATAATTAAATAATATCAATCATTCATACACACCACATCAACATTATCATTATTCATCCACTCACATTATTTTAACTAACCATCACTCCAAATTTTTAATTATTTTATTTTAAATATTATTTTAATATATCCATTAACAATTAACCATATCACTTTTTCCAAAATTAACCAAACCAAACCAAAAAAATTCAACAAAACCAAAAAATTTTATATCCAAACATGCTTTTATGAAATAAAAGTTAGCATAATTGAAATTAAAAACAAAAAATTGTAAAAATATTCAAATAATTAAAGATTTGTAAGTCAAAGCATAATTTTCTTATGTGAAAATTACATCACCGGTAATTTTATCTGCACATTTATTAATCATTTCTTTTTCTTTTTTTTTTTGCAATTATACTAGCTATTAAATTTTCTCTCTCCAATTAACCTGGTATAACAACTTTTAAACTGTAAAAAAAAAAAGAAAGAAAAAATATTGTAAAAAAGGGGATTGATGGAGACGAAGAAAACGAGATTCGATGGAGACGGGGAAAGCGGGCTCAATTCTCGAAGGTGGACACCGGAAGCATAGGCAAAAGTCTATCTCGATTCTTGAAGGCGGAGGTTGGTATCGATTCTCGAAGGCAGAAGCTGGGGGCGGAGGACGAAGGCGAAGGTCGGTCTCGATCATCGAAGGCAGACAGAGGCGGAGGTGTGGATGAAGGTTGAAGTATCAGAGAGGTTGGCTGAGATTGAGAGAGTGAGAGCAGTTATATGATCGAAGTATCAGAGAGGCTCCGCGATCAGCTTTTTTTATTCCTTTTTACTTTTGTGATCTAGTGATGACAGTATATGGTGTGTGTATATGACGTTTATGTTCAATATATTATGTATATATTATGTATAAACTAATCCGGTATATATTATATATATATTCTGTATATATTACGAAAAGATCGTGTATTTTGTGTTTGATATGAACTAATCCGTGTATATTCTGTATAAACTAATCCGTGTATATTGTGTATATTTTCTTCTCGTGTTTTCTCATACTTTTGAATTTCAAATTTTATCGCTTTTTTGTCTGATATGAACAGGTAATCTGGATTTTTTTTTTGTTACACACACTTACCTTATGCCATAATCCAAATTTTTCGTCATTGAAACAACGTAAATTACAAAAGGTAACATCTGATTCTGTTTTATCACCAAATAACAGCAGTAAGGTATCCATGCAATTAATATATAAGTTAAAAATTCGCTTTTTCTCCGGTGAGCACTGTGGAGAGTGCGAATCTGTCATTCACGTTCTCCGGGATTGCCCGATTGCCACGGCATTTTGGCAGCTCATGCTACCGTCGGCTTATGGGCGCGACTTTTTTCGACACCAACCCCAGGCTTGGCTGCGCTCGAATTTGCTTAAGGGTCGAATGGGAAATTTTGAGAGATGGCCTAGTGTGTTTGCGATTGCGGTTTGGAGGTTGTGGACATGGCGGAATGAACGTATATTCAAAAATGTATCTATGAGTCCCGAGACCAAGAAAGCGGAGGTTGTGAACATCGAGTCCAGTTATGCGCGGGCGGCGATGGACTATGTAAAGGCGGGAGCTGCTTCATACATCTATTGCCAGATCCTTTGGGTACCACCAGACCCGGGCTGGGTCAAGGTGAACACGGACGGCTCCTTTGACGGCCGCACAGGCTTAAGCAGTGCCGGTGGATTACTCCGAGATGACAAGGGTCGTTGGCTTGGAGGTTTCCTTTTCAATATTGGGTCCTACACCGTGGTGGGCGCCGAGCTATGGGGCCTTTTTGAGGGCCTGAAACTGGCATGGGATTTGGGGTATAGAAGAGTGATCGCCGAAATGGACAACAAGAGTGTGATAGAGATGGTCTCTAGGCCTGGGAACGTTTGTGATGCGCATGCGACACTGCTCATAGCCATACAAGAACTAAAAGATAAAGATTGGACTCTCCAGTTCCAGCACGTGCATAGA